GACTCTTGGGTTCTATTCTGGCTCTGGGAGAGGAGTGGGGGTTGGTGGGTTAGAGCAGGGGGGGCTGGGAGCCAGGACTCCTGGGTTCTGTGCCCAGTGCTGGGAGGGGAGTGGGGTCAGGTGGGTTAGAATGGGGGGTGGGTGGGAGCCAGGACTCCTGGGTTCTGTGCACCTCACTCCCCTCTGTTTCTCCCTAGGGTGAGAAAGGTCCCATAGGCCCCGCTGGCCGCGACGGAGTCCAGGGTCCCGTTGGGCTGCCCGGCCCAGCGGGGCCCCCAGGGGGTGCTGGTGAGGACGGCGACAAGGTAAGGCCCGTCTGTGTCTGTGTCCTTCCCCCACACACGACGATGGGCTAAACCCCCTTTCTCCTCTCTCCACAGGGCGAGGTGGGCGAGCCGGGCCAGAAGGGTGGCAAAGGCAACAAGGGAGAGCACGTGAGTATGAGCTGGGGGCTCCCCTGACCCCACACTGGGGCTGACCCCCCCCCCAATTTCTGCCTGGGGTATCTCTGTGTCTCAGCACCCCTGACCCCTGTCTCCTTCCTTCCAGGGTCCCCCAGGACCCCCAGGTCCCATGGGCTCAGTCGGGCAGCCTGGAGCAGCCGTAAGTACCTTGCCCCCCTCAGACAGCCTCCTGCAGCACAGGGCAGGGGGGCCCTGCGGCTGGTAGCACGGGGCGGTGCCAGCTCTGGGCAGGGTGGGACTACAGAGCTGGGTCAGCCCCGTGCAGGGCCTGGGTGATGGAGCCGGGTCGGTTCCGTGCAGGGCCTGGGTGATGGAGCCGGATCAGCTCCATGTGGACAGGGTGGGGGACGTAGCTGAGGGCGATGGAGCCCGGTCTGCTCCGTGCCGGGCGGAGGGTCCCTGACTCCTGGCAGCGCAGTGTCCCGGCCCCTCACTCATGCCATGGGGCGAGGTTCCTGACGGCAAAGAGGCCCCGCATCACACTGATGGAGTGTGGGTGGGATTCCGGGGGGGTCCCGTCAATGGGGAATGGCGGTGGGGGGGTATTCCCGCTGCTCCCACAGCGCCGAGACCTCCCCTCACCCCCACCCCCACCCGCTCAGCGAGTCCCGTCTCCCCGGGGCCACTCGGGGCCTGTCTCTGACTCTCTCTTGTGTCTGTGTCGAGGGGGCTGATGGGGAGCCGGGCGCTCGGGGCCCCCAGGGCCACTTTGGGGCGAAGGGCGATGAAGGAACCCGCGGATT